AGATTTATCGTTATTTTTTTATTCCAAAGGTTGTTGACTACTCTGAAATTCACGGATTTCGTTTCTCTGGAGATGAGTCCATTACATGCGATTGATCCTTAAAAGCAGCTGAAAACTATCCATCATACCTACCATATGCTCTGTAAATGGTTCACATACGAAACATAAGTTAATATTCATTCGTCAGTCGAAAGTAATGCCAACAATCAATACGAAACTAACGATTTTCAATTGGATCACCACTTCACTAGCCTATTGGTCCCAAGCAAACCATTAACTATCCCATTCTAGTCCAAATTCTAGTACTACGCAATGTTTGTTTGGATTCGCTATGAAAGTTTGACAGATAAAATGCGGGGTTATTGGTTTTTCCTATGTTTCGAGGGGTGAATCGATTAGCTTGGGACCGAAGAGAGTACCAGAGCTGAGCCAAAAAGTTGAGCACATTATTTCGGGACCTTCTAGTCTTAGAGTTACCTCTATGGTAATACACACGTTCTTGTGCAAGAAAATCATCCAAATGGTTTTGTCATTCAAAATTCAAAAAATGCGAATTCATTCTACAACAGGAGGATGATTTCGTTCAGTGTAGAGGCTAACAACCAGTGTTTGACGCGATTTCAAAAGGCTTTGGTTCAGAAAAAGTGTCAAACGCCGATCAATGTGGGTATTTTTTGGAATTGGGGTGACATCTAGAGGCCATCTTGAAATTAAAGATGGTGGCTTTCGATTTAAGAAGAAGTGCCAAGTACATTACCAATGTCGTTGAGTGTCGATTTTCGGCATCTGCACGTCTTCCTCGTTCTGAAAATACCCATATTCTAGGGTTTTTGAGTCTTTTCCTGAGCCCGACTTTAGAATGGTCTCGTTAATTTAATGTTCGTTTAATATAAAATAGCAATTTATTACTACATATAATCCAGATGCCGGCAACCGATATTGTGCGGGTACTATCCGGATACTATATTTTGATGCCTGACAACGCGACGCGTGACAAGTCGAATGAGCCCCGAATTGAAGTAAAAAATGAAGGAAGCAATTTTCTAGTCATTCATTGCGTCAATTGAAACTAGTCTTTGCTTCAAATGAAATGAACTGATGATCTTGACGAACGAAACAAGCGATTGCCAAGTCATGTTTGATAGGAGGATTGTTCATCTTGACTCGATAACAACAAACACAATGACAATTATATTGCTCGAAATGAAGCGATTCTACGGAGAGTTCATTTTCTATTCTTTGTTTCGAAAATGTAGGACCCTGGTCTTTTTAGACGATAATCAAATTGGTAGTCCCTAATTCAACGAGTAAATCGGACAATCACCGACCTTTCCGTAATAAGGCACGGTTCTGCTAATGGTGCTTGCACGGTACTTAGAAATATCTAAATTTATATTGATGGAATTCATATTTTACATAAAGGATGGATCGTAAACATACATGTCATGTAAATTATAGTTACCGGATATTATACCGAATAATAGTTACATGAGATTTTCGTAGTGCACACCTTGGGAATATTTTCTGAAATAAAGGGTGTTCACGATGAAATTGCCACACACAAAATTGATTCGCAAAATTCGAGTTTTCATCCGATTGCCATCAAATTTTCAGGGATTGAGAAATAACTATTAAACTTCATTTTACCATTTTACTCGTATTTTATTAACAGTCCATACGCAAATGCCCGCACCTTGGCCTTAACCCCGGCCATAAGATTCTGCACAACCTGTGAATCAACCGTTTTTTGCATGTAAACCCATACTTTCTTCAGTTCCTCGACTGTCTTCACTACCTTAGGTCGTTTAAGAAGGTGCTGCTTCATAATCGCCCAGTACTTCTCGATGGGGCGGAGCTCCGGAGTGTTGGGAGGGTTGAACATTTTCGGCACGAAATTGACCTTATTGTCCGCATACCACTTCAGCACGTCCTTGGAGTAGTGGCATGAGGCCAAATCCGGCCAGAAGATTGTTAGGACGTTGTGGGCCTTCAGGAGAGGAAGCAGCCGCTTCTGGAGGCACTCTTTTATGTACACCTGTCCGTTCATCGTGTCCTGGGTCACGAAAGGTGCACTCCGCTTCCCGCACGTGCAGATGGCTTGCCAAACCAGGAATTTCTTCGCAAATTTGGACATCTTCTGAGTGCGGACATGCTCCGGAACGCTGAACTTATCCTTGTCCGTGAAAAACAGGTTGCCGGGGATCTGTTTGAAGTCGGCCTTCACATATGTTTCGTCGTCCATGATGCAGCATTCAACTTTCGTCAGCATGTTGAGGTACAACTTCCTGGCACGGGTTTTGGCGGACTTGTTCTGCTTCTCGTCGCGATTAGGGGCCTTTTGTACCTTGAACGTTCGAAGCCCAGCCTTAGTTTTGGCCTTTTGGACAAAACTTCGGCTTAGGTGCAGCTTCTTAGCCACATCCCTAACGGAGGCGTTCGGATTTCGGTTGAAGGTCCCAACTACGCGGTTGTGATTTTTGGTGTTGTACGGAATACTTTTTCCTTCACTTCTGGGCTTCCGATCGGTGGTCAACCGCTCCTCGAACCGCTTAATCACTCGCAACACCGTGGAATTCGCGATTCCCACCGTTTTAGCGATGGAACGATGCGAGAGATCCTTGTTCTCGTGATGAATGCGCAAGATTTTATCACGCACGAGCTGTTCTTTCGACTCCATTTCCGCGAGTTTTGATCACAGGACTTTAAAACTTGCAGGATGTAAATAATGCACTATGAACTAAATCCACCCAAATTTTCATTAAATTCTACCCAACGGTTAAAAAGTTAGAGCAATTTCATAGTGTGGCAATTTCATCGTGGACACCCTTTATATTGGTGTTATCCATATGTAGAATTCCATCTATCCCAAGTAACAATTTAAGTTTTATGAAATACTACAAAGCTACTATAAAACAACATTCATAAAACCCTGGTCAAGACTGCTTTGCCATTGATACATCCACTAAAACCTCATTGATGCTAGAATCTGTCTAGTTGGCCCACTCTGGGAAAGGTTCTGAAGGGTATATTTTCGAAGCTCTTCAAGATTGATTTACTGCAAAATGGTTGTACGATAAACGCATTGAGACCCATTTCAAAACCGTATTTAAGCTACAATAAAAGCTATTTGGCAATAATTAAAACCATTATCCGAGCCATTTACCCTAGCTGCTTGCTAAGTTCACTAGAAAAACAACAATCAAGATAAAAAAGCATTCATAAATACCATCCGATCAAAATAATTAAAATAAAAACTGATCGTATAAAAATCCTGCCGAATTTCCAAAATTATAAAATAGTTCTCATGAAGTGGCTTTTATGAAGAAAACTTGTAGACTGAATTGTATTAATCTAAAGCCATTTTGCTTGATCCTAACCCGTTAAGATTTATGCAGCATTTATGGCGGCATGTTGCCTACAAAATGTTAAACGTCAAAGTTTGTTTATCTTTCGAAAGTTGTGCTGTGCGATTCAGCGTTTTTGCAGGCGATACTCTCCCGATGGCTTGGAAGCAGTTACCCAGAAAGTGTTCACAACATTTCGCATTTTGCACAGCTGTAACCTCGATCATTCCCGAAAAGATCCCCTTCTTCCGGATGGTTCTGGAAGTGCACCATCAAACGGTGCAAGAATGTACGGTTGAATGGTTTTTTTTTTCCAAGTGATGACCCTTTCACCGAAGAAAATCGCAGCTATGGATCGGAAACCAACTAGTGTCCGCTAACTGACAGTTTCAGAGGTTTGCTGTCGGTACTGATGCAAGTTATTCCGATCTTCATCTATTCGCAAGGTCTGAAGAAGGCTGGTCTGTTTTCAGACTGTTTTGACAATGTTTTATGAATTTGAGGACCACGCTTACTTCACTCTTCTCCACCAGATGCTCAGTCGTTGATGGTACCCGTTCCGCCGGACGTGCTGGTTCTTCTGAAGAACTAAATTTTATTGAAATCGACTTCCCTTCGGTCGTTAGCATCGCTTGACTTTTTCCTCCAACTTCGTTTATTCTTCGAGATATCCTTGTCATAAATTTGGTTTTTATTCACTATGAGGATCCATCCTTAAAGTTTAGTTTGTAAACAGAGGAGATTTTATGATACACTTTTAAAAGCCTAAAAGGTAACAATATATGCATTTTACTCTCATTTAAAACCGAATGGTTTTATGATTGCTTTTATAATGATAGAACAGGTTTATAGAGTATTTTATCAAGACATTCATAAAAAATTGCTAATGAAGTTTATGATTGATTTTTAGAACAGTTTTATGGTGAGATTGAGAACTACTTTAAATTTAATTTTAAAACAAGACAGTTTTTGACTTCTCGCCAGACTGTAAAAGGTTTTTAAAACAGCGAAAAGGTGAACTACTAAGCAGGAACGCTTTACACTGTGAAATGCTGTATTTAAACTAAATGGATTATTCATTGCCATTATAAAACCATCATAAATCAGAGTGGATGCCAAATGATTGCCTAATTTTTACTTGGGATGTTTCGTCCTGTGGAAATTTTATAAAATTCACTTAATGATTTTCAAAACCTTTTCCACACTAGCCTTGAAAAGTTTCCAAGGTCCGGAATCTTACTTTGAACGCTGAACTTTTTGCGTAGAACAGCAGTATATTGGTTGTGAAAAAGTGGCTTTAGCGACTATTTTTTGGGAAATAGTGACATTAGTGACTTTTTGGTGTTACCCAGCCACTAAAAAAGCGACATGCTACAAGCCCGGTACATGAGTAGATCGCAGAAAATAATCAAGAATTTTTCGTAAACATTCTGCATCTAAGTTGGGCAGATTTAGCAGAGTCGAGGTTGGAATCCATCAATAATCCTCAGGATTCAACCTATATACTCAATCCGTAAGGCCTTTTCGCCATTAGACCACTATGCACTGGTTAGAATTATTCAACCATGTGCTGAACAACGCAGCAACCAGATTCGAGTGCTTCAATCATTTTCCATGTTACTCAACCTTTCAATAAATTATGAAAATTCCCTACAGCATATCCACCCGTAGCCAAACAACTCAAATCGACCAAAGCAGCTAATGTAGCAGCCGGATTGCATGATTCCATGTCTGTAGAGTAAATGATGATCAGTTTGCATGTCTTATGTATTTAGATCGCTACACGAGCTCAGCTGAACCAGTAAGCATGACGACGGCGGCTTACTAAACCAACTAAATTTTCCAAAACAATTCCTCCCCGGTGTGCATACAACACATAATAACCCTCGCTAACCCACAAACCGATCAACGATCAATCATCAAATACCCGAAAAGTGCATGTAAGTGAGCAAGCTAACCCGTGGCTCGTCGAAGCCGTCAGTAAATGCTCACGAAAACGACCAAATTTATGAAATGCCGTAAACAATTAAAACTCACCCTACTCGCATATTGTTGTTGTTATTGTTGCTGCTGCCGACGCTGCTGCTACTCCACCTACCAATTCACCAGGTTTGGCCCTGTACGCGCTCTACGGATTCCGGAACAGCTACCACGAGGTGTACTCCAGCCAATCCGGGTGGACCAAGCTCAAGTATGTTCGTTGAATGGTGGTCCGAGGATTGCTGTTTTTGTCCAGGGGATTCCTTTGTCATTGTAATAGTGAGCAAAAGTGATATTTTTTTTCTGAAATTACTGTTATATCGTAGGTTTAAGGCGAACCTAACTGGAAATGTTCCGCGTATAGCAAATGTTTATTTATGTACCCAAATATGCAAAACTAAGCAACGAAAACCGATGAAAAGTAGTAAATAAAATCAAAGTAGGCTAGGGAAAAAAACAATGTAGCAAATTAGATAAGTGACCCACGAAAGTAAAACTTGCCATATGTACAGAGAAAAAGAAGAGAGAAGAGGAATAGAGAAGGAAAGGTTACGCATCGACCGCACACCTAATTAGTCTCTGTTTAGATTATCCGAATCTGCTGTGAAGCTTAACAACAGCTGCTCAGTGATACAAGTTCGATAATGCAGACGATAAAAACGCTAAACATTCATAACATAATATAGTAGGATATACGTCAAGATCATCTGGTCGGGGAAGAAGACGCCCCGAAAAATGAAAAGTGTAACAGTTGAACAGTGAAATGATTGCAGGAAAAAGAAGAAAAAAATGCGAATGAAAAGAAAACTTCACCTTTTTATTTGTTTTAATTTATTTTAACGAAAGCGAAAGTAATAAAGCATGAAAGATATCCATTCCGAACCATATACAGAGCCGCACTTATGAAATAAAGCGGTACCAACAATGCGGGATAAGTGAGCAGCCTAAATCACGTGCTTTTGAGCACGTTAATGGCCGCGGCGGTAGCGGCGATGGTGTTCGTGGAAATTCATCCACAAACTCAGCTGGTACTGTGGGGGTAGGGAAAGGAAAATTCGACCCTCTTCGCGCCACAAACTGCTAAGTGAATGTTCGCGTTGCGTTGATGGTTGTTTATCGATGATCGCTGACGCTGAAGGTAAGTCAATTTTGGGGAAGTGTCTTTTTTCGCTCCTCAGACCGGTGGTGATGGTTGCGACTGAAGGAGGGGAGTACAAATGTATTTAATTTGTATGGTTGTTCAAGCAATGTGGTTGGTGTTCATAGACAGGTGAGTGATCAAGATCGGATAAGGCAGTTAATTATACTTTGTTATGAAAAGAAAAACGATATATTTTTGCTTCGTTATGTCGAGTTGGATTTTAGTACGACGTACGTAAAATTGTTAACTTGTTTGGAAAGAGAAACAGAAAAGGGGAGTAACTAGGTAGTGTTTTTGATCTAATTTCCGTTTCTACTATGCACAGCCCGCACTTCATCTCACTTCATTTGTACAAACAAATGTTTTTTTTTTCCAAAGATGACTACTAAATGATGTTACTGACAGGCCAGAAGGGCTAGTCTAAAGGTTCCCCTGACCTCTGGTCTAGCCACGGAGGTCATATGGGGTGGGCTAAATCCGCCTCTTTTTACTGGCTAGCTCGAGCTTGAGGCCTCTCGCTCTCAGGGTCGGCTTTTCTCATGGGAATTGCTATTCAAAGGTCCAATCTTTCATTGATTAAACGACACTAGACACAAATTAACTTTTACTCCTTTTAATTGCTAACTTACACAGTGGGTTTGGTGTGAATTTGTTAGCCGGCCGGCTGCTGAGGGGGCACGTGGTCGCTGGCGAATGGTCGAGGGGGGGCTGGGCGCCGTCGTCTGGTTTAGTTCACCCAGGGAACCAGCGTGATTGGTCGTGGTTCGGGCTACGGCCACGGTTGCCGTCGGGCGTAGCTCGCTCAGGAGTTCCAAACTGGAAGCTAGCGTAGATCGTCGTGGGCCTAATTGGCGAAATTACCCAAGACCGAAGTCTCAAGTTGCCGATTAACTTCAGGATACACTCGGTACAGACTAACCCGTTCGCTCCGTAGGTGTCTGGGGAAAAACGGCCACTATCGCTCGTGAGGTTCTAACTACTTTTCTAATGCTCGCACGATGGTATTCTCACTTCCGTGTCTACTTTGGGAAAACACTCGATTCTCACTGAAGACCCAGTAGCTTGCCGTTCTCCTTTTTTCTCCTTTTTTGTTCCTCTCTTTTCATTAGTCCTATATCCACCCGCGACAATCCAATAACCATCGCCTGCAGCAATTTTAACGTGTTCTTGTGTGTACTAAATGTGTATTTTAACAAAATTTGTTCTTGCTTTTATTATACATAAATACCACATTTTAACTCATAGAGTGTGCATGCAATCTTATGTTACTAGCTAGAAGTTTAAATTAACTTTCATATTTAATTTTAGACTTATACAAATAACAATTAGACATATAACAATTAATCATTGAAGTTTTAATACGAATAAGTTTTTATTAGGCAAGCAAGTTGGGATATTAGGTCGCAACGGTAACAATGACTTACCTTGCCATTTGATATAAAGTTACAAATTCTTTTTATGTTATTAAAAATCTATCACTTCTTCTTGTTCCAAATTCGCTCTATGAGTTTCAATTCAACCTAAAGTGGATTTGAATATTCATACCTACCATGCATTTTGGAAAATCAGCATGGGCATCCCTAACAAACAAATACGTTTAAAACAAACTTATCCTGGATGGGTAAACTTTTATTATTTAATTTTATTTATTTCTTCATTTTTAAATGGATATACGAAAAGTTCGCTACCACGGCAAACCGCACTGCTAAAAAGAATCAATTTGTAAGTTTTTGTTTACCCTGTAATAGAAAGACGGGAACGTCTACTCTTTTTATTGATAAGGCCCATGGCAAGTCTTCATGAGTGTACCCCATTACTATGCACAACTATGCTCAGAAACATTATTCTCAAGACTGACAATTTCAAGAGCAAAACATTATTGAAGTAACCAAAGTATTGCTATTGCCATTTGATTATTTAAGAAAGACCTCCATCAATCTGTTTCAATTTGTTTGGATTTATTTCATTTCACCACGAAAATCATAAATTAGCCCTTTGTATATTGCTTTCTTGCCTGTTGTCTACATCTTGAGCAAAATTTCATTATGTCGAAAGTAACATTCACACCGATCCGAGAGAAAAAAAGTTTTGATTTGATGACCGAAAAGTTAGTCCTATTTCCAATTAAACACATATAATCTCATAGTGATAGCAATGTTTAACATATTAAGCAGAGTTTTAATCTTGCAAAGTAGATCGCTAGCTTTCATGCTAAAAAAATACTGGTTTTTTGAGTCAAAAATTTATAAAATATGTCGTTTGGTGGCCCCTAATGTTGCTTAAGTTAAAGTGTTACCTATAGAGTACCCCATTCTAGTCGAAATTCTAGTACTACACTATGTTTGTTTTGATTTGCTATGAAAGTTTGACAGATAAAATGAGGGGTTCATGGCTTTTCCTATGTTTCGAGGGGTGCATCGATTAGCTTAGGACCTAGGGGAAAGACAGCTCCAAGTATCAGTATCAATACCGATGGTGGAAATATTAAATATTTTAATATGTGTGATATTTGCGAATCTTATACTTAGTCTGACAGTTGTTTTTTGTTTGTTTTTGTTTATTTTTGTTTTAAGTGTACATTTGACATTCGTTTAATCAAAAATGTATTTCACACGAGAGGCAAGTCATTCCTTTGTGATCTTGCTGGCCACCGACACCAAAATCCGCTCCTTGTTCTCATAAATTCGGCATTTTTTTGGTAGCTGTTCTCAGTGCACATAATCGGCCGCACTTCCATTCCCAGGAATTAATTTCCACGAATTCTTCATCGTCTGTGAACCAATGTGCTGTTCTCCTATGGAACGGGAATCGATTGACAACGCCGTTCCTGTTAACGGAAGTCCAGAGTGATGGTCCCGTGGTCGTATTACCAACAATCAATACGAAACTAACGATTTTAAATTGGCTCACCACTTTAGTAGCCTATTGGTCCCAAGCAAACGATTAACGTACCCTATTCTAGTTGAAATTCTATTACTACACTATGTTTGTTTTGATTCGCTATGAAAGTTTGACAGATAACATCAGGGGTGTGTGGATTCATGCAGAACATGCAGGGGTGAGTGAAATAGCTTGGGACTGCTTGGGACCGTTGTTCTGGTACTGAGTGAGCCAAAAATAATAATGATTTTCTTCGAGACCCAGTGGTCTTAGAGTTACCTCTATGGTATTACGCTCGATTCGCCATGAGAATGCAACTTGGAGAGATTTGTTGCTGGGGGAACGTCCAGTACCGTTTTTATCATGAAAAGCCGAAGTCGAAATCGATCAGAGCTATCGAAAACGAAAATCTAGGCAAAAATTATGACAAACAGAAAGCTGCAGTAAACATAAACAACAACGGTGCAACGTCATTGAGTGTATGCGTTAAAGTTACACCAACAATCAATACGAAACTAACGATTTTAAATTGGCTCACTACTTTACTAGCCTATTGGTCCCAAGCAAACGATTAACGTGCTCCATCGGGGTGCATCGATAAGCTTGGGACCGAAAATAGTACCAGAACTGAGCCAAAAAGTTTAGCACGTTTCTTTCCACCTGTATTCAGGGGTGAGTCATGGTCTCCGATGTAAGGGCTTGTATCACGCTGTACGAATCGGATAGCACCAGTATAGGCCGGTCAGAGGGTGTTGTAACGGCAACAAAGATGGCCGCAGCTTCGGCGGAGAAAACCGAGCATTGTGGTGGTAGGCTGCTACTCATCGGTGCTGAAATTCGAGGTACTACAATTCCGACCCTGGCTCGGGAAAGCGATCCGTCTGTGTATATGTGGGCATGGGTTGGATAGTCCGAGCCTAGCAGTTCGGCTATTGTTCTCTTCAGCGCTGCAGAGTTATCTCCAGCCATGAACCTGCTTTTTATCCGACTATCGATTTTTGGTGGAGGTATGCGCCAACTTTTGTCTCCGTACCAGTTGACCTTGGCCACTGGGGGGAGCTCCGAATTGGCAGTCATGCGGAGGAGTCTGTTCCCCTCTGTCGTGACCGGACCGAGGTTTCCAGCCTCGGTCACGGCTACACGAATCTCGGCTGCTACGGCCGCTCTGCTTCCATTACTGCTGCTGCTACTATTGTTGCTA